AAGAGAAGAAAGTTAGCATAAAAAGTAAAGAAAGGACATTTATATATAATAGATATTAAAGCTTCTTACCTTTAGCATAAACTATACTATACCCTTTATACTATTCTCATCTTATATGATAATAGCCACTTGGTTATTAAAGCTTACCATTATTCTATAAGGCTAGATATATAAGTTATATTTTCTTTTTTCTAAAATAAAGATTTGACACTATTTAAGGTCAGTTGTCAGTATCAGTAGCTATATCATATAATCAGAAGAGATAGAAGGGAAGAGAGAATCTACGCTATAGCTCCTATAGATTTTACGCTAGTTACTATCTTACTATATATACTATAGTCTGTTTTATAAAGTAGATAGAAAGGCTTAATGATAGTAGTAATGATAGTAATGATGGTAATAACTTAAGTAAAATAAAAAGAAGATAGCTAAGATAAGATATAAAGATCTTAAGATTATCATTATTATTATTATTATATAAAAAAAGAAGGTTAAAAATCTAAGAAGGAAAAGGCTTTATATATTCGTATAAATATAAACTAAGCGCTTAAACAATAGCCATAGATTTTAAAGCTATCGTTAGAATTTAAATGACTGACAGAATAATTATCTAAGGTTGATACTAGCAGTAAAGCAGCCTAGCTAGGCTAGATAGTTAAGCTAAATGGTTAAGTAAGATAAGACGATAAAGCTACTATATAAGGCTACTATATAAGGCTACTATATAAGGCTATAAGTGGTTTTATAAAGCTAGCCAAAGTTACTATAAAAGCAAAAAGTAGGTATATATATTCATTATATAAGACAAAAAAGCTAGTCTAACAAAGAATCAAACTCAAAACCTCTCTAAAACCTTATATAAGTCTGGCAAAAGCTTATGATAAAGTACTGTCGCCACTGTCAGGATAGGGTAGGTAGGATATCTTCCTTATTTAAACTTAAGGTTTATAATATTATAATATCAAATGAAAATAGAAGGTATATAATAGCCTTATATAAACTAAGCACCTTCCTTAAGCTAGCTTTCTATCTTTACAAACTATTTCTCCTACCTTTAAAAATTTTTTCCCTTCCTTCTCTTCTCTTTTCATACAATAATAACCACCACCACTACTACTACCACTATCATCATCATCACTACCATCACTACTACTATCATTACTACCACCACCACTATATTATATATATTATTAGCTTCTATTATATAAGTCGCTTATAGCTAACAAAGTATACTATAGTAACAACAATAATAATAATAACAATAATAACAATAACTAAACCCTAATACTTATATCATAAGATAATATTATAGTATATATAAAGCTTCTTTAACACCTTTCCCTTCCCCTCCAAACAGCCCTTATATATATAAACATAAAAAGTAAATAGTCGACAATATACTATCATATAAGCCCTTCAATCGTCATTTTTCCTTCCCTTTCCCTCCAAACCTTCAAACAGTCCTTACACATACATACAAACAATGAATCGACAGTATATAATCGTACGAAAACCCAACTATCATCTTCCTTCCAAACAGCCCTTATAGCATACACATATATATATATACATATATAAACACTAACCTTCCATTGCCTATAACTATACGAAAACTCTATTTTTATTTCTCCTTTATCTAGTCAAAATAATTAAAGTATAAACACTATATATATAAAATACCACTTAACCATATAATACCAACTCATCTTCTTTACTATTAACCTCTTCTCATTCTTCCTTCTCATATATATATATATATATATATATATATACTTATATATATATTATATTATATCATACTTACTCTCTCAAACACTCTATCCTTCAAAAACAGTCGCTAACTATATAACTTATCTAGTTTACTTCTCCTTCTACTTTTAGTGTCTAAACATATCCATCAGCCCTTATCGTCTGACAGAATCGACTATTACTAATCCTCCTTATAAGTAGTCAGTAGCTAGCATCATTCTATCATAATACTATATAATGTAAGGTTCTAACTCTATATAGTTAGAATATACTTATCATATAAGAGGCTATATTAAAGATATAGATCTAAAGCTATCAGCCTTTATATATAAATACCCTATTTATTATAAGCAAAGATATTATCACCTAAATACCTTACGCCGTCTACTGCCGACAGATATAAGCCAACTTAGACGATTATATAAGGCCGATTCCCCTTTATATTCACCTATCTAGTCACTTTAGTAGCTACTATATAAACTATAAGTGGTAGAATCATACTACTTACTACTTTATATAAGACAATAAAGACGATAGATTATCCTTAGACTCAAACTTAGATAATGACAATAATAATAATAATGATAACGACGATCTATCATATATACCGGCCGTATGCTACCTACTACTGCTACCACCATATATAGCTATTATCTATCGTCTACCTACTAATGATAGATCGATTGCCAATCCTATCAAGCTTTAGATATATATACTTTTTTCTTATTTATATGATAACCATCCTATATATAGATAGACTAATAAAGCTTACCTTAAGTATAGTAACATAAAGGTGTCAACTAAAAGTCTAAAAAATATAGAATAAAGTTAGTACCTTCTTATAATATCTTATATAAATAGCTTATATAAATATATAAATAAAACTAAGCTAGCTAAACAAGCGAATAAACACTATCAAAGATATAGTAAGAGTATACTAAAAGGTTATAAAGTTAAAAGAGAATAAACAACTAAATAGACAATAACAATATAATATATAGTGTCAAAAGTATCATATATATCTGACAGCTATATATACTAGCTAGCCCTTAAAGAAGAATCGAATAGAGTTTATAGCCTTACCTTTTAATACTTATAGAAGGCTATTATAAGCTTCTTTAGCTTTATACTTTATTCGATCTTATTCTAAAAAATACTTTATTATCATTATTTAATATCTTTAATATTAAGATACTTAATCTTAAGAAATACTTTATCAAGATTATCGTCATCTAACACTTTAATATTAAGATACTTAATCTAAAGTATCTTCTAATGGTTGCTAGTAAAAAAGTCATTATTATCATACTCAACTAATATATTATCTAAAGTTAAAAGGAAGAGTCCTTTTATAATAGTCGATAGTAAGTTACCTTAGCTAGCTACTTAAATAAAGGTTAGGTTAAGTATACTCTCTAATACTATAGTATCTATAGCTAGCTTATATAATCCTTATAAAATATATCTATAATATATCTACTAAGTTTTTTTCTTTATATTATATTATAAACATATTAAGGAAATATTTATATAATACTTTCATAATGTTTATATAATATAAAGGAAAAGAAGAAAAAAAAAAGAAAGAAAAGAAAAAGAAAAGAAAAAAAAAAAAAGAAAGAAGAAAGTTTAGCCTAGCTAGAAGTCAAACCTAAAGCTTTATAGATTATTAAAGTTATACTATAATGTTGGTAGCATTGACTTAAACATCAATATATATTATACTATCATTATACTATCAAGTCTGTCTTAATTATATAAGCTTTAGACGCTATAGTATACTTTATATACTATATGATAAGATAGGAAGGAAAGGGTTTAAAAGGAAAAAGAAGAAAGGAAGAAGAAAAAGAAAAAGAAAGGAAAGAAAGAAAGATAAAGAAAAAAAAGTTTAGCTTAGCTAAAAGTTAAACCTAAAGCTTTATAGATTATTATAATAATATAAGACAGCTTTCATCCACTTTATATTACCGTCATATCGATATATACTATATTACCATTATACTACTAAATCCGTCTCAATTATATAAGCTTTAAATACTATAGTATACCTTATATACCATACGATAGGGTAGGAAAGAAAAAGATATAAGTAAAAGGAAAAGGAAGAAAGGAAGGAAAGAAGGGAAAAAAGGTAAAAAAAAAGAAAAAAAAGTTAGCCTAACTAAGAGTCGAACCTAGAGCTTTATAGATCGTCATAATATACTCTTCCGTTAGTATAAAGAAGCAAATTATAGTATTAATATATACTATACTATCATTATACCATCAGACCTTATTTAAAGGTTGATTATATAACTCTTCTTCTTTTTATATTATATTAAGCCTCTTACCTTATAGCTACTATATAGTATAATATATCCTTAAAGTTATATCTTTTATACTATATTATACTATACTATACGACCAAAGCCTCTATCATTATATAATAGTAGATATAGCATCTCGATTTTGCAGCTAGATCTTAGCCTTATGTCTATAAGATAGTCTAGAGCTGACACTTATATAAGGTTTTCTTTGCCTTAAGGTTATTTCTACCCTTAAGGTTAGGGTTGTCTTTCATACGCCTTTCCTTTCCTTCTCCTCCTAACTACCCTAACCAGACTATACCAAAATCTACATCCAACCTTCAACTACCTACAACTCTACCACCACACCTCTACAGCTCTAGTACTCTTGTATCTGTTTGTTGTACTGCTATCCTCTCTTCCCTAATCCGATTTGCGGCCGTTTTATCGTACGAGAACCTAAGGATATCTACCCCCTGTTTTTGAGAGGATATCTACCCCCCTGTCTTTTATTTTTCGTCCGTGCGCCCCACCTAGGAGCCAAGGATATGCTGGCAGCGTATGCTGCTGCATGGCGGCCAGGGTAAATATATCATATATTTCCCAGAGTCTGACTCGTGAGTTTCGTTATCTTGACTGTTGTTGATACATTACTGATTTTATTTGAGGAGGATGTACGGCATATATGTTTACGCAAGCGGGATAGAAGGCGTGGGACTTGTCTCCCTTCGCTAAGGAGCCGACTGGGTTAAGAGCTTGATAGCGGGAGAGAATATAACTGTCTCATTGATTTACCCTAGCTTAGCCGGTCGATTTGCTGAAGAGCTCAGTAACGGCCCAAGCGCAGGTTACACCAGCTCATTCAGCAGCTGGGGGCCTACGTGGGAAGGATATCCCAAACCTCAATTCACCGCCCCTGGAGGAGGAATTCTGTCTACCTGGATCTGGGACCAGGGCGAATACATGGTCAACCCGGGCACATCAATGTCGACACCATTTGTGGCAGCGGTGTACGCCCTAGTTGGTGAAGCGCGAAAGACCCTGGATTCCAAGCATCTCCGCAACGTCATCTCGGCGACATCACAGGCCAAGCTGTGGAACGACGGAACCACGGTCCACAACATCCTAGCACCAGTACCACAGCAGGGTGCCGGTCTAGTTCAGGCATTTGACGCTGCGAAATCAACAACCATCCTGAGTGTGAGCGGCTTCTCATTCAACGACACCGACCATTTCGTGGCAGACCACGCCTTCACCATCCAGAATACAGGTGTCGAAGCCGTCACATATGCTCTCGGCCATGCCAAGGCGGTGACTGTGTATACTTTTACTCCTGGTACTTCGACTCTTCAGATCTCTCGGTCACCACCTCCAACTATCGAGGAGTGGGCAGAAATCGCCTTCGAATTAGCTAGTGTCACCGTCCCCGCTGGCGCATCTGCAGAAATTAGCTTCACAGCGGTGCCGCCAACTGGGATTAACAGCACGCTCCTGCCCGTGTACAGTGGCTATATCACGCTGAACAGTTCTAGCGGCGAGAATCTCTCGATTCCGTATCTTGGCGTCGGCGGAAGCATGCACAACACTCCAGTCTTGCGTTCGGGCACGGACGGCCTCGGCGGAGTATATCTCTCTTCGACTAGAGATCACTTCCTCATCCCTGTACCAGCTAACCAGACGTTCACAATCCCTCGTCCTGGCGCGGTGGGAACTGCCATTTTTCCAAAGATTGTTGTCATACCCACAGTCGGCTCCACGCAGGTACACGTGGATCTCGTAGCCGTTGGCGGAAACAACGGCACGAACGTGACAACTTCAGACTGGCTCGCGTATCGAAGCCTAGGCCAGATTCCTGGAACACCGCTGAGCTACGTTCAGACAACAGGCTACACTTACAACTTCGCCGGTTGGTTAGCTGACCGGACTGTTGTCCCAGAGGGAACATATAAATTTGTCGTCAGTGCTGTCAGGATATTCGGAGATACAACAAATCCAAATGATTGGGATGCTATTGAGAGCGTGCCATTTGTGTTAAAGTACTTCTCATAAAGCTAGAGAAATTTAGTTCTCAAGATCCAATCATGTGCGATGTGGACCGGAAATTACGCAAGGCAAAATTTGATGGACAGTGCATTAAGGGAGTGACACTGACTTCGGCGCTTATGTTAAAGAGAGTGGATGACATCCGGCTTATCCATGCAAGGATAATCATATGATAACACTATATCCATTCAAAAGAAAGGACAAGTATTATAATGTTCAATGAATCATTCATCCGGTAGAATAACTCAAAGTAGTTGCTTTGCTATGACAACACAGTCATATTTGTTATGTAATACTAATAAGAACCAAAGTATCACAACATTTTGATCAGGTTGGGTGACTGCTTGATAAATGAAGGTAGAAAAGGTTATAACCAGAGAGAACTCCACTGTCTGAGGCAGGAGACTCGCACCCACAAGTAAACAGGTCAATGACATTTCTTTTAGAATTATATTAACTCAGTGATAAGCCCTTTTTGGCTCTTTAGACTTTGCAGAGCCAATGATATTGTGATGACTTTCCTTCGTGGTCATGCCAACAATTGTTCGTTTCAAAGAGCCGATGCAGCAACATGTTTGTTCGTGATCAGAAAGATCTCCAAGGATGAGCGAAAGGAATGAAATGAGAAGTGTAACGATATCACTCCGCCATATACTCCGTCTTAACCTCACCACTACCCTCTTCCTCCACCTTGACTGACTTCGCAGCTTTGGCCTTAGTCGGGCGGCGCATGGCTGCTTTCTTTGTCAGAGTAGTGCCTTCAGCGCGGCCATCCTGCTCCTCAGTCTCGATATCATCATGTTTACGCTTGCGGAGTGCGGTTGTCTTCTCAGATATGTTATCGTTATTGCCGTCGTTGGCATTGGAAATCCTTTTCTCGTTTGGGTCAGCGACGGGGTCGGCCGCAGCCGCGGCATTCAGCTCATACTCCCGGCCCATGGCCTTGAGTTTGGCCTTGACGCGACCCCAATTAGCCTGGGCGCTGTTGAGATTGGCGTACCCACCGAGACGGGCGAACTTGCCCATCTGCAACTAAAAAGGAGCGCGCTGTTAGATATGGTCTCGAGGGAGTTGCACGAGCGCAAATATGGAAGGGACGGGAAGGGACGGGACGGGAAGGAACGTGGATGAGGTGGAATAAACCAAAGAGAGAATGAAAATGTATAATAATAGGCTCACCTTGACATCGCCGTCGAGGCACTGCCAGGCGATGATGGCAAGTTTCATATCACGGTCGCTTAGGGCGGGCTTGAGGGTGGACTGGTCCTTGGGTGCCATCCTAGTGAGCCACGTCTCCTGACGTGTTTATTCGTTTGTGTGAGTTTTCTTGCTCGTGATGTGAGGCGAGACAATGCGAGATGAGTGAGATGAGATGAATGGCGGAATATGAAAATATGGACAAGGTCGCTCGAGGTGGCGAGGTGGTTCACCGTTGTTTTCTGGAGAGAAGCGGAAGTTAGGACGGAGCGCGGGGCATAATGTGATCCGGGAAGGTAGGCAAGAACAAAAATGATTATCAGAAAAGCAGGCTGGAAGTGAGGTAAACGCCGACTGAAGGTGTTGACTTCTGTAGTGGCTTTATTGTACGTGAGATGGTGGGGGTTGGTCGCTGTTGTATGTTGGAATACGCGCAACGCTAAAAATGGACAAATGAGATAATACATTCTCAACTTCGCATAGTAGCTCTATTTAGACATTATCTGAGAACATGTCAATCCGTTGCACTGTAAGCATTGATTCTAGTAGCTCTATTATCGTCGGCAGGGATATTTTGCAAGCACTCGGTATTGTAATGAAATTCCAGGTGGCACGCAGAATTTTCAGCCAGTAATACCTGAAAAATGCTTTATCATTCAACTGGCTCGGAAGAAGTATGGAACGATTCATAGTTCTGTCCTCCGATATTTTCATTTCTTATTTGTTGCTGCTAAATCATAAAATTTGCCAGCGCGATCTAAGGCCTTATAAAAGTCATCCAAAACCTAGGTCTTATTGCTCGTTCCTCCGCAAGACCTTGGACACATGATCTTGACGCAAGAAGAAAATCTCAAGCTTTTGTAAGAGAAAGATGCGGCTGATACATTGTGGGAAGGTGGAAGTGGTGGAGTTTGTCACCAATGTTCGACCCTATACAGTTCTGTCGTATACCTGGGAGGAGCAGGATGTGACATTCCAAGATATAGCCAATGCATAAATTGCTGCGTAGGAAAAGGGCTTCGCCAAGATCAAATCAGCCTGCCAGACGGCTCTGAAAGCTAGGTTCCATCATTGCTGGACGTGCTGCATTGACAAGCCAAGCAGCACTGAACTCTTTGAAGCCACCAACTCGATATTCAGCTGGTACCAGAAACCTGCGATCTGTTTCGCTTGTCTATCGAATTTGCGATCTGACCCCAGAAATCGTTGTCATGTCAACTCGGACGCTGTCGCTGGTTCAGGCGGGGCTTAACCTTTCAAGAACTCATTGCTCCAACTCACGTAGGCTTGTGTGATCAGCAATGGCATTACTTTGCTTCAAAGTCGAACATTAGCCGCGCTCTATCCGATATCACCCGTATTAATGAAGACGCCCTTGCAGGGAAGCGATCTATCCCGGGCTGCGACAAGAACAATCACTCGTGAGGAAGACATCGCTTACAACTTGTTAGGCATATTCGATGTCAACGTGCCGCTCTTGTACGGAGAAGGGTCTAAAGCATTAACAGAATTCCAGGAAAATATCATCAAGGCTTTATGTACCTTTCACTCTTCGCTTGAATATCTCGCGATATCTCACAATTCTTCCGTGGTGTGCTTGCTTTTTCACATGCAGAGTTCGTTGACTGTGCAGACTTAGTACTGAGCAGCTCTCACTTGAATCCCTACGCACACCAGTATAGCATTACAAGTAATAGGGTTACTATTCAACTAATCTTACGGATTAGTAGCGCTGAGAAGGAGCCATGGTGTCTTGCCAATCCTCTGCAGGCGCTTATCGTCCTCGGATAAGAATATACTACTTCTACGGCAATGCGGACTGAGCGTCTTCGTGCGAAACCAGCAATATTCCACGACTCACGCCAAGGCCCAAACTGAAGGTAGCTTGCGAGTGGATACGCACCTCCCGCGATAAAATCTACTCAAAACGAATTCTACGTTGAATATTCTTCATAAAAGCATTGCCTTCGATGCTAGCAATGCTTTGCCAATATTCCTGCTTCTGCCTCTCTTCTACTATTGCTGCTGGACACATCGTCATTGACAAGATGAATGCCGATAACGCTGAAGGCTGTGTTGCTCTAACTCAAGACTACTTGATGCAGCATCTTTTCAGTCTGACAAATTGATTAGAACTCAAAGACGCGAGGGCTCGGTCGTTGGTATCAACAGATTGGATTGAATCACTCCCCGGAGCATTATGAGCGATTTGCTTCCACAAAGGTCTACTTTGCCTGCGAAATATCACACGGCCTTTCTTCCTGGAAAAGGAGTTCTTCACCTTGCTGGGAGCGCTGTTGCGAATTTTGCTGCCGGCGCGTCGCTCCTCTGATCTCATCTCTGTTGTCTCGCACTTGAGAGGTACAGTGCTGTGTTGTCAGTGATGCACTTAGATTGTGGGACACTAAAATCGTGGTACGCTAAAGTTCTAGTGCACCTAAATCCTTGAATACCTACCTAGCTTTAGCTTTGCCTTACGTGTACTCCACTGTATGTTGCTGTGTTTCATTATTTTACGATGACCTATTGTATGCAAATAGCCCAGCAGTATTTTTGCAGCAATATATTAAGAGCATTTTATCTAAACGTGATTAATCAGCATCAAACAGGAAGATGGATGTAAATGCTAAGAAGGGAAGCGGGAGAAGTCCCTTGTTACTCTACTCTCTCAAATGAAGGTCTATGCGATACCGAATCATCTCACCGGTTAATGTTGATTTTGTATACGACGATGGCAATTTCTCTGCCCAAGAAAATTGACACTCTTCCATTTGCAACAGCTTGGTCTTGAGCTAAACATCAGACTCGATTCGTCTCATACGTGTTCCTCCCAGCGTCTGATCGCACGGCATTGGCGGCGTGCTTGTAAGATCAGCTTCCGATGACCAAATACTACTTCCAAGACTTCTACCACAAGTCCCTAAGTAAAATCCCTGATGGCTACTGAGCCAGGTGTTGGGAACACTCCTAAGGATGCATCATTCAAACATTGATGCCGCCGATAAGACTGAGATCGAAGTACAACCAAGCAATGAAACTGGGGAGTCCATGAAAGGGTTGCCTCGAATCATAGCAATTCTGTCCCTTTATTTTATAATGGTGTGTGAACTCAAGCATCCAGTCGATTTGCAGCTAATATCAAAATAGTTCTGTGGTGCAATCGAGATGACAATGGTTACATCAGCCATCCCCCACATTACTGCCGAATTCCAATCACTCGACGATATCGTAAGAGGACTCTTTCTGTTTGGTGCTATGGCATGCTCAAATTACAACAGGGATGGTACGGCGCGGCATATTTCATGTGCCTAGCCGCCTGGCAACCGATTTGGGGAAAGATACTGAAGTTGGTCCCTCTCAATATAGTCTTCACCGTTAGTACTATAGGATTCAACATCGGAGGCATCATCTCTGCTGTGGCACAGAACTCCGATATGCTGATTGCTGGCCGAGCTGTGCAGGGCGCTCTGGGAGCTGGGATGCCGCCTGCAATCTACACAGCTATTGCTTTGATCGCTCCCCTCAAGCAGAAGCCTCTGTATATAGGATCGCTGGCAGCTGTGTGGGGAATTACCAGCGTTCTAGGGCCCATCGTCGGTGGTATCTTGACGGATCATGCCTCTTGGCGTTGGGCTTTTTGGATTAACTTACCCATCAGCCTTCCCGCATTACTTGTCTTCCTTCTCTTTTACAAATCTCCAGCTGCAGCCACTCCTTCTAAAGCTTCATTCAAGGAAAAGCTTCTCCTCGCTACCTTAATCCTGTCTATTGGCTCGGTGAGGGCTATACATTTACGGCGATACATTCAGCCTGGATGATCAAGCTTTCTTTTCGCTTTGTCGACCTCGGCTCGTATGTTAGATATTCGCTGTCTTCAGGCTATCTGTGATGTCTTTTTGATAGTTTTATCCCATGACTGGCCTTGAAAATGTAACCGGTGGCTTATAATCTTTGTCTGCTATTAGTTGTGGCTTTATACTAATGGACATTAAAACGCAAAACTAGTTGAAGCTATATTTTGTCTCTATGCTAGTATAAAACCAAAACAAATTGGTTGTATACTAAACAAGCTGTTCTAGAGAAACACCTACTTCATTATATCTTTTCTTCAATTGACCACCACCTCACCTAGCCTTTCCAAGACCACCTAGACCCTAATTACAAATCCTCGCCCCAGCAACATCCCGCCCATACGTCTTCGCCCAGTCATTAATCCACGTATATGACCCCTTCCACAACCCGCAGTTAATATCCATCAGCTCATTGAAGTGATCCCACTCCGTCCTGCTGCATCCCTGGCCCCCTATACCCGACGAGTTACAGATGTAGACCATGGCCGAACCCGCGCTGAACACCTTGGAGTTCCGTGTGCCCACCTTGGCCCCGCCGTCACAATACCCCTGCATCAGCGTTACAGCCGTGATGTAGTCGTCGTGGTCATACGTGTCGCCGCCTGTGCAACCCGTCTCGCAGTTCGGGTACTGCCTCTTGAACAGATCAGCTTCAGAGCCTGTGGGGCTGGCGGCCGTGGCGCGCCGCGCGGCGGCGGCATTGCGAGCTTTCTCGAAAGCGAATTTGGCGCTGAAGCTCGTGTCGCGCTGTGCGACGGTACTGCCGTCTTCATCTTCCCAGAGGTCCCAGACGCCGTCAGAGAGGTCCTTGGGGACGATGACTGCTCTGACTGCCGCTGCGAGGAAGGTGAGGAGAAGGAAGGACTTGGTTAACATATTGTCTCGTTGCGATAGGGCTAAGACGATAGGAGTCGGAAGGAGTAGCTTTTTGTCAAGGCAGATTGTGTGATGATTATCTTCTTAAATGGTTGATGGGTTGTGATGGATGGCTTTTCGACAGACTTGGGTTGCGTCGATGACTGTCTTATATGCCCTTCGGCTCACGATCTCCGGATTACACCTCCCATCTTGTTTGTCATAACCACAATTGTGATCATCCATACCCAGTTCCTTGTCGGGGGGCTGTGGTCTTGGAAGTCATGACGACTTCGCGAAACCTTTCGTCTTTTCGGTTATGCCTAACGCCATCATCTTATTTTGTTTAATGGTGATGATGATGAGGGGTACAGAGCTAGCTCAACCATGTAAGTCCGTAGGAATCGACACGCGCCGGATCATTAGGGTCCCACCTGCAACGAAATGGATTCAGCATGGCGATTGGTCGCTTACTGCGCGTGGCGGCTATCCTTGCTTGATAAGGCAATACGTAATTGAAACCCAGGTCTAAGCCCCGGGTCCTCCAGAGGGCTCTGCTAGCATTCAAAAGTTAGCAGCACTACCTTAGCCGCGATCAGTGGAGCTGCGCCTCCCCGCATTTACTGTAAGACATGCCCTCTCCCCTGCAGCAAAGCATGTGTCTGCTCCCTCGCTAAACCGCGAAACGTCATTGATCAGGGGAAACGACTCCTGCTCAGATTCCTCTACAACATAATAAGAGGCTTTGCTAGGCGCCGAGAGCTAGCGGCAGTTGCGACTTGCCAGAACAGTACCCTGGCTCTGTCTATCACGCCGTTTCTTTCTAGGCAATGACGGTTAGCAATTAAGCTTAGGGTTGAGCTCGGAGGCCTGGGAAGCGGCGCAAAATCGTCAAGTCATCGCAGTGGGTTTCAGGGCTGGTGAAAGTGAGGCGATGATTTCGGCATTTCTAGTTTGAGCTGCTATGAGCTGAGAAACTAGCCAATAACTCATGTTATGACATCTAAAGTTGGACATGTATCTTGACATTTCGAGTACTTCCCTATGGATCAAGATAGCCTCGGCTCCACCTTGGCAAATGGAGAACTACCGGATTGCATCGCCATGATACAGCATGAGTGAGCCAAGTCCAATCCACCTTGTATACTCCTTTCTCAAAGCCGAGTATAAAGTCATTCGACAATCTCGATGATAATCTAAACCACGTCTCATCACATCAGTCCGCTCTGCAACCAGAGATCTATCTGCTTCCTCTATATCCAATACATCGCAACTGCCAACATGAAGGTCTTCACTACGTTCACTCTTCTGCTTCTGACCGCCTTCCGGTTCTCGCAAGCGTTGGCTATCGAACCTTCCATCGGCTTCGTCCTACCTCGTGGGCTCCCCGACGGATCATACACCGTCGCTCGTGACACCAACCATCCAGACAAGCACATTTTCACCAACATCAACACTCGAGAGAGCTACGAGAGCACCAAAACCGACCGACTCGCTCGCCGCGAAGAGCGTGAGGCCCTGGGTATAACCGCCCGCACGATTCCCAACGGTCAAATAGGGTGCACGTTCAAGACGTACGACCACAACGACTGGCAGGCGGCACGGGACGCGTTCGAGACCGACATCTTAATTTTTAGTGGATCGCCCTATGTCGTCACTCGTGGAAATGCGATGCTTTACATGTGTGCGTACAAAACCAATCCGACCTCTCAAGTGGAGTACGACGAGGCGAATTCCAAACTAGATAGGCAGTGTGGATCCTGGATGGGAGGATACTACTGGATTCAGAATTGGGACAAGACGTATGGCCGTGACAATGTTGCAGCACAGATTTGTTCCTGAATCACGTTTTGTCTTGTAAGATATGTTGGCATTTTGACTTCATCGAATTCTACAGGCTGATATCGCAATCCTTCAAGTCCTTCAAGGTGCAACTTAGCTGACTGAATCGCCCATTGTAAAGTATTGGCTAAATGGAAAACATACGACCCATCATACCTTCATCTTCTTTAGTCCTCCAAATGCTCGTAGCTTGTTTATTGAGGATATCTGGACTGAGAACGCACGATTGCCTTGATCAGTGATTTGATCAAGCGCACGCCTAGCTTTTAGCTATCCCTAAGCCTCACGGCTTCGAGGCATCTTATAATACTACTATTGAGGGACAAATCTCAGTGCCTTTTGCCTAAGCCTGTTACCTTGTCGTCAATGTGACAAAGATGAAATCGATCTTTACTCAATATTGACAAAGTAATTGCCGTGTCCCAAGAATAATTTTGATCAAAAAGATAATCGTTGTTTCAAGACAAAGTCTACAGAAAGGCCACCGACTATACGAGTCGTGATGAATTGCTTTGTTGCTGACATCTTATTGCGCATATACATTTTACCTTGTTATGAAGAATATAAAGCGGGAAGAGTCAACTTCAAACTGACAGCAACAGCTAGCTTTTCACATCATATCTGCTTTTCAATCCAGCGTTACAGATTAACGGACTGACGACCATAGGAAGTATACACGACCGGCACTTGGCCCTCAACTTCGAAGCCGTCGTCTCGACTCACCGCATCAATCGCCGCCTGCTACTGAAGTTTTAGGTCTATATCCACGAAGAAATGGCATCTAATTTTCAGGATACTTCTGTATTCGTGTGATTGGCGCGATTGGTAGAGGATCTCAAAGGTTTGATGATGTAGCATCTTTGAGAAATGAAGACCTCAAAGCTATTGAGATGAGACGCCCTTATTGACGCCAGTAATTACTCATTATAATGAGCGCAAGAATTGGTCATAGATCAAGAACGAAGAGGAAGGAATGTCAAGCAGAAGTCCCGGAAACGCTAGTACGAGGCTCATCACATGACTCTCTTCATATCCTCCGCTATCTCGATTCACAGTCGTGAGGTTCTGCATAACCCCATCTAGCTGATGAGAAATACAGCAAGCTTCTAAGATCTACATACAAATTCAAACTCACCTCCAGCACGGCGACAAAAAGTGGAGGTGGAGAAGAGCTAACAAGGAGGATCATGGTATCACGAAGACTTCATTGCCTCGGGGCTTCATTGATGTTGTCGCGATCACCGGCTCTCCTTAAAATGGGTAAAGATATACCCCTCTCTCCCCGGCAATTAGAGTGAAAAACAATCAGTCCTCAATCTCTTTGCCATAATCTTTACTGGAAGTTTGACAACGTCCATTTTACTGTCCCCGAACTCTGTCCCATGACTATACGATAGTCATATGACTTGACTAATTCAAACCATGTCACGGACTTCATACAAGGGTAGTCGTTGAGGTCTGTTCCTGCGAGTGCCTTAACCCATGCTTGCTTGACCGAAGTATCTCCTGGCTTAGTTGACGTCTCAGCAATGGCCATATGCTTGTCGTACTTCTTAGCGAAAGCATCGTACTGTACATTATGCTCAGTCAGCATCATTTGTTATAAAGCAGCAAACATCAAAGCTATGGGTGGGGGAAGAGCAGTGTATGTGAGCCCAGATGTTGCTTACAAAGGAGCCAAATGTGTTTTCAAATGTCGCTGATGCCGAAGAGATATAAAGATCGACTCCAACAATTTGGACGTAATCACTACCGGGCCACCAGGGGTCTAGTTCGTCGTTGGACTTGACATTGTTTGGTGACCAGAACATGAGGACTCGGTCATTCTCCTTTACCGCATTCGAGACGTTCCGCCATGCGTAAATAAACTCTTCCGAACCTGCAAATCAGCGGTGTCAGAAGGCCAAATGGCCCGGTCTCACGAGTCCTGTGGGTTCTTACTGCCATTGTAATACCCGGTCTTGGCATAGTAGTTCATCTCGTGCGCGAATCGCAACCACACTTCAATTCCCTCATCGGTGAATTTCTTCACTACACTGGCAATATCGGCCGCAATTTCGGGGCCGACTTGCTTGAATTTCAAACCCGTAGGCATGATGTGTGCGACGAGAACTTTTAATGATCAGAGTTGAATGCCAGGAAATGTATAAAGATACCAACCTGCATCGCTACTCTTAATCTCATCCATGTATCTCAATAATTGAGTGCCATCGTAAGAGTTTGCATTCTTGATTTGACTGAATATACCATAGCTAGAGAGGGTGTCAGTCGGAGTTGCATCAGAAGAATGAGCTTCTCGTACGTGCTGGCCTTCTTTCCCGTTGCTTTGTTAATCATGCTGATGTTGACGCCATTTTCAATGTCGGGGTTCCAACCCCAGTAAATGCCATTGTGACCCTGCATTCCCCCAACGGGTGGGTGCATATCCCACGTGGAGCAATAATCCTATGCCATGTGAGTAAGAGATACAAAGTTCTACTACACATAAGTATCAAAGCAGGCGACATACTCTGCCCGCGAGAAATCCGCGACAAGGCTCCAAAAGAGCCACAAATGGTATGAACAGATGCCGAAGATGCATCGTGAAAGTTGACTTTCAATGACAACCGTTGGGGATAATGACAGATTGAATCACTGCGACTGCTTGTGAACATAGCAAACTATTATTACCATAGGTATCATGCACCGCATTCTGCCAAGGTCATCGCATTGCTATTCAGTTCAAAAAGCCACAACCGATATGAGTTATTCGGTAGAATTTGGCGCAAGCCTGACAATTACAATGCCACAATCCCTGGCCCTGCAGGGACCGGCGTCAATTTGCGATATTGAAGATGTCATTGCCATTGGCTTGGTCTCTTATTGTCTGATAAAGCTAAGTGAATGCTTGCTACCCGTCTCAGACTATTGTTGCCGATCTGCGCTGTTGTGGTAGAGATCTTCAGAACAAGACCCATTTCTAGCCGCACGGGCTTCAGCAGACTTGAAGCAAGCCCAGGCAACGCAACACCTGGGGAACTATTGTTTGGAAAATGGAGATTTGTCGAGGACGATACCAGCCTTATTGACACCAGTACCGGTCGTGCAGGTCCGCACACAAAATCTCCTAACATAGAGGTAGAGGCCGATGCCGCGCTGATCAGCGCTCACTAGTCCAAATGCATCATATCAATCGAATCCATCCTTATCTTATTGCCAACATCTTTACGCCAATCTTCGTCAAATTTGAACCTTGGCCTAAGACGTACCGGATTGAGAACACCCGGCTCCTAAACCCTTCTCGTTATCTCAGTCGCAGCAGCTAGCATAGCACATTATCCTTGTCAAAGATCCGAGGTGGGGATTGCATCAGTTTCCTATCTTCTGCGCAGGTAGGTTCCAAGTCAGTTCCCAACACGTCAAATTGGGTGCCTTTTTTATTTCATTATACCGTCTACCCTAAGATTCAGTGTCGTGGGGGGGATGATTCACAGCTACTCGAGAAAGGCAAGCTTGATTTAGTAGTTCTCGCCTGCTCGATATCGCAACACGACAACTTCGCTGCGCAATCATCTGATTATCTACATGACGATTCTCAGTATCAATTATCCCATTACCGTGTCTAAGTCTATGCCAGTCTAACCTTGTCTCTGAGTCTAACTTAAATCAAATCCGTGAATTTATACGGCCCACTGCCGCTTCGCTCCTCCACCACCCCACCCTCCCTTCCCATCGCAACTACCAGTCTACCTCCATCTACTGTATTTACCAGTTGCATAAAAGAAGCCTGTGGGCTATGAAAAGATTGTAAACGTTTAGAATGATTAGTGGCAAAGTCTGGTACCACTCGAGGCCGTGGAGAATGCGGTACGTGACCGCAGAGATCATCCCACCAAGCACAGTCATAGTCCACATCCAGCATAAGATTCTCATGTTACGATACTTGTTGCTCTTATGGGCTTTTGCGTCGCCTGAAGCGGCCCACATAAGTTCAATGTTGAAAAGGCGGTCTTTGATCGCAGTGAGGTAGGCGTACGACTGGATGTGCATCTGTAGATAGTTAGTACATCGACTTCAAGGCTTCCCAGATGACAACTTGCAATGTATTGGACGTTAATTCCGTAGGAGGCCTTTGCCCAGAAGCGAAAGACTACCAGACCGTATACGATAGATGGTATGGCAAATGCGAGGTTGTAATACTTGAACCACTCGGGCCGGAACCACAACAGCAGGATGCCGGGGATTGGAGAGATGAAGATGCCAAGAGATACCGCAGAATAATAGAAAAAACCTTAGATGGTCAGCAGTGGGCTTTTGTAGGTTCCCAGCAGAGACATACCGCAGAGATAGCAGATCTTCTGCATGAGAGTCAGTTTCGACACCCAGAAGTGCTTGTTAGTGAGGAGCGTCGTACTGCCCCTTGCCCAACGCATCTGTTGAGAAAAGAACGATCGAGGCGTAGGCGGACAGACACCTGTAGCTAAACAGAGCGGCATGTACTTAACCTTCCAACCACGGTCGACAGCACCGAACCTGTCCTATGTTAGATAGATGGCAAAGTGTCTAGAGGCTATAACACTCACCCAGTGTGCACATCTTCCGAAAAGCCAATCTCAGCAGTTCCACCAACCTCCTCGAGAGCAGCACGGCGGTAAACGGCATTACTGCCGACACAAATCGAGGCTCCCCAGCGATTACGATTGACCTGGACGACGCGATAGAACAATTCTTGGGTAGCTCCTGCGCCTTGTTCGACCCATGTCTGGTCATTGGTGATACGGAAGAACTGTGGAGTCTGAACAATAGCTGTCTTGTCATCTGCGAGATGCTCGGGGAGAATCTCCATCAGGAAGTCAGGGCGTGGGCAGAAGTCGGCATCAAAGATGGCAAAAAAGTCGCCGCTTGTGCGTGCAAAGGCCCAGCGAAGGTTGCCAGCCTTCTTTAGACGTGGGCGGTCCTCGCGTACGATATAGTTGAAGCCGTAGCGCTGGGCTAAATCACGTACAATCTCCTGGGCTCCATCATCGAGGACATGGACTTCGATTTTGCCAGCTGGCCACTGCAGACGTTCGATGTGGTTCCAGGTATTTTCGAGGATCTCGATAGGCTCGGCACACACTGGGAGATAAATATCCACAGTCGGTGCGCTTTCTGGGATGACGGGATTATTGGCCACGGCCTCCTGGTGAGCAGCATAGTCCCAATCCTTGCCAACTAGTCCCACGAAATATGAGATAATAAGATAAATATCGACAAACCCCACAAACACTGAGTACCAGACAAATATTATAGAACAGAGAGCAAAGAGCCACATGCCAGCAGAAAGAGACAGAAACGAGAAGAGACCGAAGATATAAAGAGGCACCCTGTTGGTGTGGAGATAGCTGAGTTTCTCTTCATCTGTTGGGCAAGTGGGCAGGACCAGGGCGGGCTCCTCCTTGGGGCAGTATGTCCTACGCCAAGCGTTGGCAATGCGACGGAAGACGTTTGGCTTGGGCTTGAGTCCATCAACGGCATCAGCTGCACGCTTCTCTTGGTTTGTGACAGGCGCACTCTTTGGGCCAGATTCTGGGTCCGAGCCGAAGGTATCGCCAGTTTTCTCATTGATGACCTCTCCCACAGAAGGAGCGGGTGTCTTTATCCCTTTAGTAAAAGTCCTTCGACATGTGAAGCATTACTTACAATCTCTGGCTCTGCGGCTGGCGGAATGAGGGAAGGCCGACTTGTTGGAGCAGCACCAGGTGTGGGAGACGGCTTAGGGAAGATTAGCACTGATGACTCGGAAAGAGAAACACTCTCTTACGGTAGGATGCTCAGAGCTGGTTCTGTTCGAGGTTGAAGTTTGAGATGCCTCGTACCGGCCATCTTCGAAGGGGTTGACAGCACCTTGGTCAACGACCCCTTGCAACCGGGGCGGCGTGGTCATGGTTGGAGGCGGGATGGTTGGAAAAGCTCCTCGAGCTGAGCAGAAAACAAAGGAAGAACGTCCGACCTCGAATTTGGAAGAATGTCAGTGAAGATTGGTGAGCCGGTGATGGCTGCTATAAACGAGGAGACGAACACACAAGTTGGTGAGCTAAAGCGCTAACTACTTTCTGCTGTGCCTACGGCCCATCACAGAGTCTTTGGTAAGGAGACTGTCTAGAAAGAGAGTGGGAAAGCAAAGCTTGATGACTAACCGATAGTGCACGATGTCAAGCTGGTAAAGAACGACATGGACCAAAGAGAGACAAAATGCTTGACGTGTCGGCCAGCTGGGATCAAGTGTCGATCTTCACCTTTTGTTCTTGAATCTAGGCTGAAGCTCGATGATGTTGAGCAGCGTGCTCGAGACTGATGGGCGATCATAGTGAATTCATAAAACAATAGTTCCGACTAAATTCGACAGGGGACCAAATTAGGAAAAATAGCAACAGATTGCATGCGCCGAGAGCGGAAGGAGACATTCAAAATTGAAGTACATGGAATATCGCTGAGCAAGATACGATAAGAAGCCACCAGGGAAGGGTCCCAACATATGCACCCGTAGCGCCGGAGCACTTTTTGGGCATCTTTGCCAAATCCAGTTGTGGAGCATTACCAACAGAGATATCGATGCTGAAGTTGGAGGCCGAGAATGTGACATTGCCCAAGCTATGATAAGCTTCCGATCCAAACTCTAGAAGCCCCAGCGTGGAATCAGACGGGACTAGATCATTGCGCCAGAGATACTGTAGGAGTGGGGATACTTCCTGGAAGAAACCTGTCTCATTCGTCTTAGCCACCCACGTGAAGACATTCGTACCGCGAGCGTTCTGTCCGGTGTAGAGGGTGCTGTTGGTATTGCAGCATGGTTAGTGTCAATGACGAGCAAAGATGCACCGTGAGCGGAGATTTCGTGTGACTCACGTTAACATGAGGAGGACTTACAAGTGAATAGGACCCAGCGCCTGCGTAAAGCAGGTCCTTTTGGAGCTATAACCGATCGGCCATGGATTTCCCACTGTTCCAATCCATATCATGATCTCGGTGGCAGCTGTGGTGGCGGACAATGCTTTGTCCGAGTCGGGATCTGCGAACAAGTCGAAAGCGATGTTCGCGACAGTGTCCAGCTCGTCCAGCCCTCCGGCGTCTATGAGACGAGCTGAAGATGTAGCGTCCTGACCAGGGCTGTAGGACCATTGGGCGTTCAGGGTCAGGGACGAAATGTTAGACAGGGGCACCGGCAGCTGCTCGGATGCGAAGCTAACACGGGGATATGAGTGGACGGAGCCGGGACTTTTCGTCCAGGACCAGGTAGCATCGAATGCAGGACTAGGGTTGTTGTCGATCTTGGATGCAACGATTACCGAGTCAATCAGCCTGTCGAGTATTAGGGGCGTCAAGTGGCGCACTTACCGACATGCACTGAAAACCGCTGCCATCCGAGTTCCATGCGTTCGCACTGTCTAAATCACAGGTTTTCCCCCGTCAGCTTCATTCAAGGAATGCAGGAGGAACATGAAGGAAGACTCACAACTCAGATTTGCATCGCTGGATGGCGAGTAGCCATTCTGGCCACAAATGACAGCATCATAGCCTTGGACAAGGGTCGGAAAGGCCAGACTGGCGAGTAGTGCGTAGGTGAAGGAGAGAGCGGGCGTATAGGACTGAAAGAATGCCATTTTGGTGCTGGCGCATGTGAAGAATGATGGAAGAGTCGACATAACTTTTTTGACGGGAACGGATTGAAGCGTTGCTCTCTCATATCCACCGCAGCGCGCTTCGGAGGTTGAGATTCAAGATGCCCACTTCACCAGGACGCATTTCGGCGAGAAAGGCATCTAGATCCCTGCAGGACGTGTGCCACAGCAACGATAAGCTGTCCACCTTGATGATGACCGGGTTTCGCCCAGAATGGAAGCTCTTCAACTTACAGAATCTAAAAAGCCGGAAAGTCCCCGTGCCTTGTTGGTCCCTTGTGGCCCCTGGTTGAGTTAGGTGGAGCCGCAGATTGCGTGAGGCTGGGGCGTGCGTCGTCTCGTGTACACTCTACGGGACTATTGGGGTGGAGTCTTTGACTGCGTCGGCGGCGGCGGCGGCGAGTTTCCCGCTCCCGAGCTGGCAAATCGACCACTAACGTACTGAGGCTCAAGCAGTGCTCAGCGCCTGTAATCTGTTGTTGGAGACGTGAAATGCGGGCCGTTGACGAACGGGAGGTAAAATTGCGGCAGGGTGAAGTCTCGTCGACAAAGAGCACAATGATGTTGTGGGCCCATGTCTCACTAACACCCGCCCGCGCGACTTGGATTAGGTACGGTAACTCTGCCTAGTACACGTATGTCTGACGAAAGGGGAATGAATCAATGAATCAAACCCCTTATTGGAAGGAACTTGCCGATAAGAGTAGACAGGGCCAGGGGTCCTCGTGCAGAACAGTTGGGTCACTTTGTAGTTATTAGTGATTGCCGTGTGCCAAGCAGCCAGGATGACGGTCATGATCCCAACATAAAATTAAATTAAAAAATAAAACCAAATATGTCTTTAGGGAGGGAGTCGAGATAAGGTTTCTAGTGTCCCGATGTTGGGCAGAGATACCAACGGAAACGCTAAAACGGCGTACTATCAAGTACCGTCCAGCGGCTGGTTCCCAAAATTTGGATGGGCAAAGCCACGGCGCCACAACCACAGCTGGGTCGCGGGATGCAGCCACTTAATTAGCCGCTTGCTATCTCTCTTGAAACTATTGTTTTAAGACTTTCGAGGCTTTCTTTCTTTCTTTCTCAGGGTCAGAACAAGGGGTTACCAGACGAGGGCCGAGGCCCCTGTCTGTCAATCACTTGGCTCAGATTGGATCGAACGGGCTCCCGGCCGATCAATCCCATGTTTTCCTAACGAGGGACATCCTAAACAATTGTCAGCTCGCGCTACCCGAGCCGTGCAGGGTAGGATGCACTCCTGCAGCCTTCAGCTGTCTTCTGGTAGAGGTTGGGACAGATCCGGTAATGCAGCAGTTCAGCTACCGCGCAAACCCGGTGTTTATCCCTTCTGATAACTTGGGATCGACAATCTTATACCGAAGTAGATCAAGTCGCTCGGGACTAGATGACCTCGAGCCCACTCTAGCATCCCGGCATCCCTGCTAATACTGGGATTAATACCGCCTATCTGCCGCAGCGCCGGCTTCATGGTGAAGAAATCCTTGTCCTATATTGTCGAACCCTGACAGATCGGCAGTTGTCACTGTTAGCGAAGCTAGCGGGTCCCTCCAGGTCGCATTCTCATTAGGCGCGGTCGGCTAACATGTGGCCTCTTGTCTGGCCCCCAATGGCACCCGTGGAAAGATGTGAGACAAGCATGTCGTGAAGTTCATACAAGCAAACAGCTGCCAGCACTCAGTCCGATGACGGATGTGGGCCAAGCATACTAGACATCTTGGCACCACTGTTTGGCGCTGAGGCTCATGATGATCGACATCTCCCTCGATGTAGACGCTCAGGGCCCAGCACCAGACATGCATGGCCCTGCTGCTTGGTTTAGTAAGTCTTGTATCGTCGGTGGCGTATCTCAGTGGAACATGAAGAGAATGTGTTCGAGGCCACGACTTGCAAGAAGACACGACAGATTTCTCACCGAGTACCCCCACGAACTATTGAATCGCTATCTCGTGAGAGTGACGATCATATCTTGATTCTGATTGAGAGTGATGCCGCTAGGCTGGGTTTGTCCATACCAGACACTGCTGGACAGAAATCTGCTTTGCAATGAGGCTACGTAGTCGAAGGTCGCGGGATTTGTGGTTTCGCAGATAGCTGGAGGCTGGCCGCACCAAAGATGGCATCACCGCTGTTCTCGCTTCAACAGGTCTGCTGTGATATTGTGCCTTGTGGGTAGGTCGGGCTCCCGGACAAGGACAGGTACAAATCCGGGTGTGATGTGAGAGGGTTAAATGGCAGATTCATCGACGTCCTTCCCGCGCTGGGCTGGAACCTGATAAGAGTCGAACTTTCCACCTCTCGAGTCTGAGCAAGGACTCGTTTCTCTATTCATCTCAGAACTCTCATCTGCTACAAGTTGTAAGTATCCCTAGAATATTACAACATGGCTGCCATCGTGTCATTCGTGGATAGCCCTCCCCTCATCAGGGACTCGAGCAGTGCTTCGCTCTTGACCACGAAATCTCAGTCCTCAACGTGGGACAAGGCTCTTTCCGCCACAAACACAGCCCCAACCTCTGTCGGGTCTTCTCCGGGGGAGTCACCAGTGCTGAAGCCTACCTTGCCAGGAGATAGCAACAGGGCCGGCTCCTCAGTTGATTTTGAACCAACCCGAATCCCTAAAGTTCAGAATGTCTGCTTTGTCGGTGCTGGTTTCGTCGGTATGATCCCCAAACACCTGCCTAATCACACAACTCACTGCATACAGGCGGTCCCACGGCAGCTCTTATCGCGTTTCATCATCCGGACATTGTTGTCAATGTCGTGGACCTAAATGAGCATCGAATTGCGGCCTGGAACTCTGCACACCTTCCCATCCATGAACTTGGGCTTCCCAAGGTAGTACGCATAGCCCGTGATGGTACAAAAGAAGTATCAATGTTCTGGCCTAACGCCAGCGAGCCTGTCGTCGTCCCAGCGCGTGAACCCAACTTGTTCTTCTCAACCAATATTCAAGCTATTGCTGAGGCCAACATCATCTTCATCTGTGTCAACACACCGACAAAGATGTATGGGCTCGGTGCGGGAGCCACAGCAGATCTCGGCACTCTCGAGCTGGCTACTAGGTCTGTTGCTCAGTATGCAAAGACTGGTGCTATCATCGTAGAGAAGAGTACTGTTCCCTGCGGTACTGCACGCATGATTTCAGATATTGTAAGTTGTACCATTTCCCAAACGTTACTTCCTGACCGTAGAAAAGCTGATCTGATACAGCTGCAACAAATGCGACCGGAGACATCTTTCGAGGTGCTTTCGAATCCAGAGTTCCTTGCTGAGGGTACCGCCGTCGAGAACCTCATGTATCCTGACAGGATTCTCATCGGCAGCGCCGAGACCGCAGCGGGTCTGCAAGCAGCTACCGCTCTTAAGAACGTGTATGGTGCTTGGGTTTCACCTGCTCGTATCTTGACCGTCAACACCTTTAGTAGCGAGTTGACCAAGCTGATTGCCAACGCCATGCTAGCGCAGCGTATCAGCAGCATCAATGCCGTCAGCGCACTCTGTGAAGAGCTGGGCGCTGATGTCCAGGAGGTCAGCCGTGCTCTAGGTGCCGACTCCCGCCTAGGCCCCAAGTTCTTGAACACGAGTGTCGGGTTCGGCGGCTCCTGCTTTGAAAAGGATATTTTGAACCTGGTCTGGCTTGCCAAGTCTCTCTATCTTTACGAAGTCAGCGACTATTGGATGGGTATCCTTAAGATCAATCAGTATCAGCGAGAGCGGTTTGCGCAAGCCGTGATGCGCAAGTTGAACAACACTCTGTACAGGAAAAAGGTTGCAATCTTTGGCTTTGCGTTCAAGGTAGATTGTATCCCAGAAATAGAACCATTACATACTAATAGTTCGCAATCAGGATGGCACAAACGACACGAGGAACAGCATCGCAGTTCACATCATCGCTGACATGGCTGCTGAGCTTCCTCAAGAGATTGCAGTCTACGACCCAGGTTGTGCTGTCGAGGAGATCGAGGAAGAGGTTCGCCGTGTCATTAACGCCAAAGACAAGTCACATATGAGCAGAGTTAAGGTCTACTCTAATTGGAAGGATACCGTCGACGGCGCTTCTGCTGTGTGCATCCTCACGCCGTGGGACCAGTTCCGCGGCCTGCACGCCAGCTCTTCCAAAGTCAAGCCCTTCACTAGGGACAATCTGCACACGGCTCTCACAGGCTCCATCGGCGAGGGCGCTCTGAGCGAGATGGACATCATCACCCTCGAGAAGATCAAGGCGAGTCTCGATGAGGTCACCTCTGAGGACCCGCTTGAGAGAATGGTCCCATCGCCTGCCTGCAGCAAAGGCTGTAGAGAGTGCACCGTCAGTGTTACAGAGCAGAGTTCTGACGATATTGTCGATTGGAACGTCGTCTCTCAGATGATGAAACAGCCCAGCTGGGTGTTTGATGGACGCAACATTATAGATGCAGCGCACCTGCGAGAAATGGGTTTCAATGTTCACAGTATCGGCAAGGGTTTAACAAATAATTAGATAACCCGTCCGGTCTCTTTCATTCTATAGTTTGTAAATCATTGAATTGCGTTCGTGCCGACCCGAACTGAATTGCTATAGGATTTTCATAGTCTAAGATTGTCCTTGTTCTTGTCAGATCCGATGGTCCGTTTGTAAATTATGTTTCTTGTAGGGCTTGCGGTCGCCAATAGACAATAATAATTCCGAATAATAGATGTTTGGCTTTCGTACTTGATATTTGACATTGAAAAGCCCGAAATAAGCATCTCTTCAAGCTTAGAGGCCAGATCAACTTCATATCAATGCCAGAAACTCGAATGCACCAAGACTAGGCAGTGTATGAACATTCGGTTGGAGCTATTTCCTTTGTATACTGATATTAATAAGGCCTCGGCAACATAATCGATGTCTCCAGAGTGTTTGCTTACTTCCATCCACGAATAGTATTCAGATACCTCGTTGAATGCCGGCGATGACCACGGCGTCCTAGATCACTGCAGTCGTTCTATCCGGCAGACCGGATGGACGGATGTATAAATGGCTGTCAAGACCCGCCACGAAAAAGATCCAGAATAGTTAAGCTAGTCTTGATACCTGTACGATGTCATAGACTATGTAAGCGAGCTAAAGCGATTTATGGCAGCCTTTATATGAAGACTTCCACGGCATAATATGGTGTCTTATACCCATCTTGGTTCTGAATTAATTCAGAAGAGCGTTTATTCCAGATAACTGCGCCAATGAACCACGAAGAAACTCGCGCTGGGTATACGTCTCTAATCCAAATTGGACAAGCCATTGTCAGCTCCTCTGTGTTCCGTTGCCTTGGTGCAGGATCATTCGATGGATAGTCTAAGACCGTGCTGCCATCGATCTGCCATGCGTTCAGATGCGGTGAGAATTCAATATCGGTCTCTCATTACATCCTCGTATTATACAGGTCCCTTTACACAGGGAGATTGGCAATTTGGGAATATTTTTCATTTTCCGCAGCCAGCTTGCTAATACATCGTCTCGTGGGGATACCTTCCTTGATGTCCCCTTCTTCCGCCGCAACGAGCCTTTGGGCTCAGTGCTATTTATGTTGACCTGCCAAACTACATTCCCGATCTTTGAATAATAAGGCTTTCCATGGTGATATCCATATTTTAAGAGTATGAACATAAGAAGGAAAAATCTTCGAGAGGGACTCGCTCAGTCTGGATTTGAATCGGCAGAAGCTATTGCTCGTTCACATTCCAAGAGTCCTGAGGGTGTTTCAATAGTTTCATGTATAGAACTGCCTCGTAGGCCAGGGGTAATTGTAATGGTGCTATATAATATTGTCTTGCTCGATGAATTTGGTATCGTTAGAGAGATCGAATGCCAAAGGCAAAATGCTCAGTGAGAGCCGGTCGCTAAGCCCCAACATATGCTGCTCAATTCATTCAGCTTGACTAATACTGATTGCAATACCGATGTGGATGTTTGGATGTGTAAAGGGTATTTCAAGCCAACCCAATGTCCCAGTGCATTGCGGGTGCAATCGTAAGAGATCAGATTGGTCTAACCAAGAGCTTTTCGACGGCAAGCTCCTTATAAGATAAGGATATGGGCAAACTATTTGCTGTGATAGGAGATCGCTCGTGCCAACCCATATACGACGTTCGGGTTCAATATGAAAGATTGCGGATCTAGACGAATGATTGAAAATTATCTCCGACTCAACGTTGAAGAGTTGTAAAGTGCGACCATATGACGTAATACCCCAGCGTTGCAATGGCGGTGCTGCCGGTAAAGAATTTATCTTTCTCTCTAGTATAAAAATTAAATATCTTCATCTTGGTGGCTTTGAGAATTAGAGTATTGAGAGGCTAGGATGAAATTCCTTAGAAGCAGTGCTTTGTCGAGCCATTTATATTCGTCAACAGCATGATCAGAAGTGGCTAGAAAAAAAAAAGGATCCTTGCTAGTTTATTTCTGTCGACAAGTCCATTTAGTCAGCCTAGTTTTGATTGTAACCGGTGGCGGTGGTCTCTGTTTCCAATATGGATAATTCGTTGAAGACATGCCGTCAAAAGCTTGTATTTTTGTGTTTTAGTGATGAGGAAATAATTTGATTATCAGTATTTTGGTATAGGGTTAAGGTTGGAAAGCCTGCCAAAGATTGGCCCTACTGCAATAAAACCACAGATACGCAAAGGACAGGCCATACATATCGTGGTTGAACAGACTGACAAATATGTTTTAGGTATTTGGGGATGAACTGAGTCACTTCGGGTGCCATCCATCCGCAAAAGGCAGTATTGGATAGCCAATGAAGAAAGAGAAGAGAAGGAAAGATAGCTCGGAGGTCGGATGTCGCTTTATCTTCGAGGCACGGAGACGAGATATTATGGTATGTAGGGTAAGATCTTCCTGACTGCTAATCACTACCCCGCCGATGTGATTATTTTATCGTGTTCTGTGCCTCTGCTGGCTGTTGGTGGCGGTATAAGCGACATGTGAGCGGCGCAAGTGCGAGCCCTTCTGTATGAGGTGGAATTTCCATCAGGGTGCCAAATCCAGTGAGTAATTATCTATGACAAACCTCGATTAGATTATAGCTATCACTGTTATCGAAATTCAGTTAGAAATTGTTGAGCCGTTTTTTTCCGGGTGTACCTTGTTGAACAAGACTTGTCCCAGCCGTCGTTCTTCCAGTGGTGATCTAATTACGGGAATGTACATATGAGGAGTGCATTGGTGGCTGGGGTGAAGCCTTGAGAAATATGACGCAGGTCACGTATCGTCAATTCTCAACTCCCCGAACATTATGCTAAAAGACTGATTGATATGACCGACCGTCTGTATCGAAACAACGGTCGGGTTTGGTTATAGAAGCCGACCCAGCAATACGTACGGAATGACGAGAGACTGTCTCTCTAACCATCCATCTTACCATACTATGCCATATCTTGGCCATTACCCTCTGTATCACGTTGCTCTGAACCTGTGTTGTGGATTTCTTTCGAAGCAACGTCACTAGCGTTGGAAATTCTATGGTTTTTCTTTTGACGACGTTGGATGACAACACCGGGAAAGTGGTATGCTTGCGAGGGCCACAGCACTCCGCTACTAAGTCCGGGACCAATGTTAGTCAGCAGTAGACACTGCTGGCCTGTTTCAGCAGTCAAATGTTGGATTGGCTTCAAGTCGGTTTGGTCTCAGTGTCAATGATTCCTATGAGCCGAGATGATCAATACTGTCGTTTGCTACGACTCTCCCTAGCTCGTGTCTAGATCTGCCTTTTGTCTTGCCGTTGAAAGTTGTGTCAGAATACCCATGCGAGACATTCAATCAATTATAGGTACATCCTCACAGCAGCTGAAAAGACTTCAGATGATATCAATAGTATGGCTTCTCGTGTAGGTTAGCTGACGAACGATAGATCACATGATCATGCGTAATTAGCATTCGAATAAGATTGAGACCCTGCTGTTAAGAAGTAGGGAGTAAGAGCAGAGTACGAAAGTCATAAAAAAGATACAGCATTGGGCTTCTTGAATAATAGAACTCATGAGAGCGATAAGTGGTGGATTGGAGCTTACTTTTGACAAGGGGTAATGGGCGGCTAGAAGGTGAGAAGAAAAATCCGGTTTAGGCACAAATCATACAAACAATTGCAGGAGAGTTGAATAAGGAGCAAAGATTCTTCATTGTAAGACTTTCGCCAGGTTTGTCTCTTGTCCATTCTATCTCCCATATACGACCTTTTCTGGCTAAGCCTTGATCAGCAATTTATACCACAGTAAGCCAGTAAATGTTTCAAATTCAATATGTTCACCAAGTCAGCCCATTCGTGGCAAAAGTAAAACTTTCTTTGGCGAATTCTCGGGCTTTTTATGAAGTATCTCTCATCTTATCGGGTCGTGTCCCCTCTCGGCCTGCCTCCGTCGGCTCAATCGTCAGGTTGGCTTATATCGTCCACCGGGTCCTCGTTGCTACGCTCGCCCCAGTTATCGTCCTCATCCCCGTCGTCCTCATCGTCCTCATCCCTGTCGTCCTCATCGTCCTCGTGGCCTTCATCCACATCATCTTCATAATCTCTCTCGACAACTAGCTGACTGTTTGGCTCCCGTCTAATCCGACCAAAGAGCCCAGCAACATCCGACGCGCTCAGACGCTGCTTCACGGGGTCGTAGTCTTTTAGGGCGGCGTTGATTTGTTTCAATTTGTCGTTTTGTAGTTTAAGAAGCCTGCCGTCGATGGAGTTCTTGACCATGATGCGGTACAAGTACGTCTCTTTGATCTGTCCGATTCGAAATACGCGGCCGAATGCCTGCTGCTCCACAGCGTAATTCCACCAGAGGTCGATGTTGATCACCCGGTTTGCGCCGGTGAGGTTTAGCCCCTGTCCACCGCACTTCAGCCCTGCAATCTGGTCCTGCGTTAAAGACTGTTCTGCAACGTGCCGAAGATTCATTTAAACCTACTAAAACGCTCGCATCCGGATTGTCGTGGAAACATTTGATGTTTCTCTTCTTGTCATTTGGGTTGAGGCACCCAAATAAGTAATAGTAGCCGATGTTCTCTGCGTCCAGAATGCGTCCTAATATTCTTCCAATGGTAGTCCATTGCGTGAATACTGGGAAACATTAGCAGGGCACAGCAGGTTCAATGTGCAAAATAGTGTGCAGTGTGCACATACCAATCAACTTATCATTTGGATGCTCTCTGAGTGTCTCAATAATAATGTCTCTGACCACTGTTGTCTTGGCACTGCGCTCGAGTGCAAGGGCGGGATTCTCGTCGCACATTGTGACGAAGGACGACGGCACGTCACTCGTGGGTTGCAAGCAATTCAGGTCGTCTCCCGGACCTCGGGTGCCCTGCGTATCTTGTTGGCGGCTTCCATTTTGCTGTCTACGTCGGCTAGCAGATGATGATCCCATGGCTAATGGAGTAGTTGATGGCCTCTGTGATGGGGAGGCTCCTCCTGAAAGACTTCGAAGGAGTACTGCGGGCAGTTCGGTAGGTTCGTAAGCTCTGAGAGGACCATCACACTCTGGGCACGAATGGCTTTGCAGGCCTTCATCGTCCTCAAAGTCAAGGTGACCTTGTAGACAGTCGCCACAAAATATATGGCCACACTTGACAGTTTTAGTGCTTTCTCGTGTAAATGTTAGGCAGGAAGTAACGTACGTCTGTTTTCAGGGGATCCATTGGCAGATCCTGACAAATTCTGCACATGGCCTCCTTGACCATCACAACCAACTCGAGTTGTGAATCCATGTCGAACCGATTGTAATTTGAGGCTGAGAAATTGCTTGCAATCTCGTTGCTTCCATGGTCTTCCGGTGTCGGGATCTCTCTCCGTTCAAGGTGGTCGAGAAGCCGAGTTTGAGCTCCAATGGCACGAAGCTCTTGCCTGAGCGCCCTGATGTCGTCAATGGTAAGATAATCTCTCATAAGTGACTCCAAGAGAAATGGATGTGCTGTAGCTTGTCGTAGTCTCAGAGCCCAGGCAAGATATGTTGGGATGCGGCCCCTTAATGCTGCGGCTTTCAAGTGTTTGTTGATCTTTTTGCGAAAGTAATCCTCGATACGCCTGATGATGTTATTATCGATCTCCGCAACGACTGAAATAAATTACCTGTAAATGTGCATTTCTTCTCTTGAAAAGGATATCCATGCGTTAGGTAACACATGGGCCTGAGGAAGGTTGAACAATGCTCGACCTAGGAAGAGAGTCCTTACTCCCCTGATAATAACGTTAGTTATCGCTACTCAAAATTGTGAGATAATTAATCCGTTCACCGTTTCAGAATGGTTGTGGCGACCAATGGCGCAAGCTCGTCGAGGGCCTTTTCCTGTTGATTTGTTAGAAAGCGAAGAACAAGAAGTCTAGACGAACTCACATATTCAAGTCTGTCACATTTTCCAATATCCTTATTGTTATAACATCTCAGGGCCCTTTGAGTGCAGGGTGCCTTGATCAGCTTCATGTAGGGAACCAGCTCTGTTCACGATTAGAAGGCGACGTGATTGCTAGAAGGGGCAACTCGCACCTTTGACTCCATTGGGAATAGGAGTCCCTGTGAGCGCCCAGCGATGCTTAGCCCTGTCGCCTAGCTCGAGACATGCCCTGCAGGCTGGAACACAGTCAGCTATCATTTGTGTCGTTCCTATACTTGAAATCTTACTGATAGTCTTGATATTCTTCATCGCATGGGCTTCGTCGAAGATGACTCGTCGCCACTGGCAGTTGTAGATAATTCCTGCTGCTTCGTTGAATTTCTGTCGCCGAATCTTAGGAGCCAACCCAAGCTCGTCTAACTCTTTGATCGCATCCGGAGGGGGATAATTCCTCAAAAGCTCATGATAAGTAATGAATCTAGACACGATGCGGTGAGTGAAGATGCAGCATCATGTTTACCTACTGGTTATCAACTTACACGATGTCCATTCTAACCAGACTATTCAACTGGATATCGTCCTTTTCTCTGTATGTTAAATAAGCAATATCCGGGCAATGTTTCTGGACTTCTTCCTGCCACTGCCATAGCAGGTTCGGAGGTACCACCACCAACGTCGGTGCTCTTTTGTGTCGCTGATTTGTATCCACTGAGATGTGAAAGTCTACAACGATTAGACTTAAAGCTTGGAGAGTTTTGCCCAGACCAACATCATCAGCCAGGATGCCGCCATGTATTTTTTCGTCCTCTTTCTCTCGCTCCAGCATCCAGCCAAGACCCCATAGCTGGTAATGGAAGAGCGGTGTTTCAACTCCCACCACTTTCCATTTTCCATGCATTGCTCTGCATCGATTTCGGCCGAGGTAGGATCGAGCTGTCGCTAACCCTTGGATCTCTCGGTTCACGCGTGTAAGGTCGGCATTGGGGTCTCCTTTGAGCTCATCCCTTATCTTGTTGATTTGTTCTTCGATTGTGCTCGCTTCGATATGATGGATATTACCAAGGCTGTGTCGTGACTGAAATGGGTCCTCAGGCCTCAGAAGCTCCAGCATTCTTTCGCCCGTAAAGTCCGACTTCTTCCGACGTGAATCGCGTCTGAGATTGTTACCGAATCCCATTTTAGTTCTATGTCGCTTTTTAGATTTTCCATTCTCCAAGTCCATGCCCGCTATTCGCTTCTGCAGTCCAGGTCGGTCTTGCGTAGAGGCTGCTTGGAGGGCGTTGCGAATGCTGTGTCCTGTCTGGCACTTTTCTGATTGAGATACAATCTCGATCTGGTTTGCTAGGTCTTCTTCGCCATCCAGAGCATCTTCGATTTGAATGCAACCGCCTTCTGATTCGGCTTGCCTATTCATCTCCGTAGATGGCCTCAGATGGCCACTCACCGATAATTCGAGGGAAGGGTCTGCGTCACGAACTGAGGCGGGGAGTTTGCCCTCAAGTTGTGCTAGCCTGGTCTTCAATCGGACGATCTCTTCGCTTGGATCCAACCCTACGCTTCCATAAAGAGGCGCACTCTGATCCAACGCCTCCTGGTTGGCGACAACTAACGTCGTGCTCGTAGACAGAATGCCATTAGCCTTATTCTTTCCCTTATTTCTCTGACTGGAAGGAGAAAGAATCCCCTCATCAGGATCAGACTTGGCCTGAGAATCAGAAGCATCAACGATGGACTGCTCATTGTTATCTCCTGCCTTGATCTCCCTCCATTCGATAATTTCACAAATGGGACCGCCGTCTTTATAAGGCGTGAACTTGTGATTATTCCATTTGTTCCGGATCGCATCCGAGACACCGCTCTCCTCAATTTCGCAGAGCTCATCCTTGCTGGCTCTATGCTCTCTGTCGTCAATGAACATACTCCGGGCCTCATAGTCGCTGAGCGAGTCAGTCCGGATGGCATGCGCATTCGTGATAGATGAATGCTCATCAGCTATGTCCATGTCGGGGCTGCTATAGTTAGATGAACTTGTGTGGTGTTTGTCGCTGTTGCCGCCATCGCTTGCTAGACTGGGTCTTGCTTGAGGTAGGTGGCTCTCCTTGTCGGGACCATTTGCCTCCACATCTGCTGGCGGTTTCCTAATCAAGAAGGACATCGATGCACCTGTAATCAAGAGATGACAAAGAAACGCTGACTTGATAAAAAAAATGCCCACGGCACGAGCAAAGGCGGGCTCGTCCAAGATTTCTTTATCACAGTGCAATTTGTGAGAGATGACGGATGAAATAAAGTCTCAAACGGAAAGAACACTTGGAGCAAAAGGCTCCTGGGGTGCAGAGAAGGTGACGAACGCACTTTGATAAGGTGATCGAATAGACGATCGAGGTGATGTGTGATATGGATGTGAGAGATGGATGAAAGATGCAGCGTATGCTCTGTCGGACTGGGAAGTCCAGGGTGCTTTGCGTCCCAGGTTTGATGACCACTGGGAACGGCTGAGAATTCAAGGGATAAAATGGAGTGGAATAAAAAATTGGAGACAGATAAAGGGTAAAGGAAATATTTGCTTTCATGAGAGACTTAGGGAGCACGAATGTGGATGGTGGGAGGAAATGCCAACCATATAACTCATTAGGCATCAAGGCAACAGAGAATTCTGGTGACCATCGCAAGGGGCTTGAAAATTTGAGGTTGGTTCGTAGAAGGGCAAGAGGGAAGGTAGATCTGTCAGTTGCGTTTCACCCTCTCGATTATCAAAACAACTTTCAGGGGCAGGCGTCAACAATAGTGTTGAGGGGAGGTGGGAAAAAGGCTATTATTTGATGAAAGCTCATGTTGTATCGTCAGCAGTATGGAGTAAAAGAAAATATTCGCTGCCCGAAAGTAGTTAAGAGGATGGGTAGAGGTCTACGTTGATAATCCCAGAGCTGCAGAATCTCAGGTTTCATGTGACCAGGGCTCACTCAAGCTCAATCTCAAGGTCACAAAGGGGTACGGCTGCTGGTTACTCTACTTCAATCCTTTGATAGGGCCATTGACGTCGCGAGGCACTGGCTTTGGACTGTAAACTCTCTGCTGGGTCTACATCAGTCAGCAGGAGTGGGATTGCGTCGGGAGAAACCGTAGGTAAGAAAATGCCGTTGCTGCAGTGGATCTAAAAGTGTGCAATGGTAGGTGCAACAGAGGTCCTTGGTCTACGGATTGGTAGTAGAACCATGTGCTCGAGTGAGAGCTCCCAATTCCATCACAAACCTGTGGAATTCCAACAAAGCTCCAACAAAGAGCTAGCGAATATGAGGACTCAATGATGACAACTTCTAACCCGCGTTTTACCAACAAGTAACTAGCGTTCCTCGGCATATTTGTGGGGGATGGCGACCATGAACAGTCTCGATCTAGGATGACCAAGTAGTCCAACTACTTGGCAATTTCGTCCCTGGAATTTGCATTCTCCTTGTTCTATATGCTCGGACTCGGCAGAACTCAGACACATAGCACAGACGCACTCGACTTATCGTAGGCCTGGCCCTGCAGGGCCCCGGCATCCCTTCTTACCGAGCACGACGGATCACGCACAGACACGCCTTTGACGGTGCGTCCTCCACGCCTCATTCGCAACGTATCATATGTTCGCCTTACCTTCACATCCTCCCATCACAGTCGCCGTTCTCTCAACCATTGTCGTTCGCCCGTTCATTCTGCGTCTGTTCTGCACTGACTCGCGCATAACTGCTTTTGAGCGTGGCGCGGCTGTATTTAGCTACTTACCCATGGTCTATAGAGACCTGACATCAATCAATCCTCGGAATATTGTGAGGATGGTCGCTAAACCAAGGGAAGTCTTCACGGTTCTTGTCCAGAGTATCCACCCACTCACTTCCTGTAAAAGCCTCGAGAATTAGGTAAATTGATCGAATGGAGATCACTTGAACTGGAGTCTCCTGAAGTAAATGTAAATGGTAGCAGGAACCGTTAGTCTGGATCGCTGGACTTGGGGGGCAATCACAGGCTCATGAACCCTGCACACGCACACACGGATGCGAGGTAACGTTTATCAATCTTAAACCAACCTCATGCCATAGTAGTTACTCTTAGACGAAACTCAAGCCGAGTGTGACTGTCTTTGTCAAGAAGCGTGGTGCCACAAAGAACTCTTATGTTTAAACTCTCGGTAGGGCGATTGTGGCCTTGAAAAGGCGCATTATGCGAGATTGGCATGGGGTATTGGTGGTGTCGGGTTGGGCCGGTTAAAAGACCAAGGATGAGGAAGATTCAACGAGCCACAAGCACATGTATACGAGATGTTGCTCTATGTTCAGAAGTATCAGGTTGGTCATGATATTGCCGAGCACGCCGAATTGCGTCATGACTGCTAACCAAGTAAATTCCAGAGAGTAAATCATATTATCGAGGCATTGAGAACAAACTCAAAGAATACTCGTTTCAATAGTATAAGAAGAGAACCAAGCATATTCTTAGCACCCAGCAGACTTAAAACAAGCTTAAAGCAATTAGAAGAGATAAGAGCTGATCAACTTGAGATAAAAGAACTGGAAAACAAGATTGGACTAAGCTGTAATCTATTATTCCCATTCTTACTCAAACATAAGTCAACTTAAATATCCAGGAATATATTTCGTCATTGAATAAATCCTCCGAGACCTTGATGTGTAGCTTTGGCGTCGTTCCTGTCGTAGAAAGTGTCCAGGACAATGCTGTATTGCTCGGGTCACCGAGAAAGCTAATCTTATCACCGTCTAACGCTGGTATTGGAGCTTCTATGACGACGATTCCATCTGAGCTAATCACCGGCTCTTCTAGAAATAAAATGTAGAACGCGTCGTCAGTCTGTGTGAACCTGACATCTGGTCCGCCTGGGATCTCGCTTTGAATGAACCAGTACGTGGTGTTGAAAATTGCCTCCTCATGAGCTTTGATCCACTTGCCAGCTTCACGGAGATGATCCATTTCAGCTTGAACGATAGTGCCGTCTGCACGAGGGCCAATGTCTAACAAAAAGTTGCCATTCTTGGACACCATGTCCACCAAAGAGTATATGATGGTACTCGCATTCATGTAAGCCTCTGACGGGGTAGCACGGTTATAGCCGTAGCTATAGGGGTCCATGCCCTGGTTGCTCTCCCACTTGCGGTGTTGTGCAACAGAGAAGGTCTGGTATTCAGGGGTGTCGAAATCGGCGGCCTCAGGAATGCCACAGCGTGAGTTGATTGCCACCTCCCGGCCTTGTTCACGAGCATTATTCCACCATGCAGCGGCGAAGCCAGCCGTTCCATTGGCAGCACCACAGTCACACCACATGATATCTGTGCTGTAATTATAGGCTAGTATCTCCATCTGAGGTACCATAAGGTCAGCGATGAAGTCAGTAACAGGGACACGACCAGTGTAAGGCTCTTCAACACCAGTATATGGATTCTTGGCAGGGATTCCAGGCCACGATACCGTCGTATTTGTTGGGAACTGATTGAAGCCATACTGTCCAAAGTCCGGATTGAACCATTCAGGTAGTGAAAAGTAAGTTCCACGCTTTAACCCAGGCTGGTAAGTCTGAGCAGCATCAAAAAGCTCACGTAATAAGTCTCGTCTTGGACCATAATGAATAGCAGACCGGTTCGTGGTTCCAGCAGTATCAAAAAGAGCAAACCCGTCATGGTGCTTTGTGGTAACGACGAAGTATTTTGCACCTGCATCTTCGAAGAGGTCAACCCATTCCTTTGCGTCAAATCTTGAGGCCGTGAAATTTGGGAAAGTGTCGTCATACGCCCAATATTTGCCGAACGTTCGGAGACGATAGTCGTAGAAATCCGACCTATCAGCCTGCGGGTGATGATTGGAGTACCACCAAAACCACTCAGCGTAGCTCTCATACGGCGAGCTATTACCCCAGCCGGTCACTGAATATGGGCCCCAGTGAACGAAGATGCCAAACTTGGCATCGTTAAACCAATCTGGGCTTTCGTGTTTTGCCAGAGAATCGAGGTCGGATGTCCAGTCGCTTAAGCCGACCTGAACACCTTGGAATGCCCATGTTCTGCCGAGCAGTCCATCGTCAATCTGTACTGTTGCTGTGACTTTACCCTTCGAAGAGCCCTCTACACCAACATGGACCTTCTTCTGATCCCCGGGACATAGCCTCTTGATACTGCCAGTCTCCGATGTCTCAAATCCTGGGCCGGAGACCGAAACACTTAGCTCTTGGCCGGACACACACTTGATGCCGGCATTGTTAATGGTCACCTCGACTATTTGAGCACCGGTCTCCGTTCGTTTTTGTGTGGGACGAACATCTTGTACCGAAATCTCATGCCCTTTCCACAAAGATATGGCGAATATATGAAGTCTACCTATGGTAGTATTCGTAGTCTCGGGGAGGGTGATTGAGGCCAGGCTCTTGTGCCATGGAAGGGCTGCAGTGCGCTCGAAGATGTGGGTGGTGTTGTAGTTAGTTGCGTTTGCCGTGAACCGACTGGGCAAGATGATGGAACCACGATTAATAGTAAGAAAGCTGAACCAATTTAGACTACGTAGTTCATATTGCGAAGTGCTATTGTCTGTGAAAGCCAAGGTCACGTTACCCAGCACCGTAGCCGACTCCACATCTCCAGCTACAAGAAAGGATACCGAGAAGTAGTGGCCTGCTTCTATAGGGATGACCTGATTATCACAGATGACATTGTCGAAGTGGCCAGGCCCGTTGTAGCCAGGGAAGTTATACACGATACCCGTATCAGACGATTTGAAGTGGCGGGTGTCAAACGTTGGCGCTGGATACGACTGGTTGAGGCTGTCAAATGCTGCTTCCCCGGAGCGGGTTCCGAATGCCTTGTTGTTCAGGAATGGAGTCAGATCGAGTGGCATGGATGGAGTATCGGGGTGAGCAGAGCACGGGACGGCCGCAGTATGCAGGACTAGCATGCCAAGAATTGCAAGCTCAGCGACCATCTTGACGAATTGCTTCGCTCTAGCGAGAATGGTGTGAAGGGTGTCGAATGGGGTTGATGCAGTCACGGCGTGCCACATCGTCTTTGAAGACAGAAGGGCTGCGGGGATGCTGGATGATGCGATATAGAGACCGAGCTCTTGGGACACTTTCATATCATTGATTGTTTGTGCCATCCGGAAAGCAACAATTGGCGAAGGTTGCTTGCTCCGCTTTTGTTGCTACCATTTCAATTACCATCGGTCTTCATCAGCCGGGTACGACTTGATTTCATTCGATGGTAGCCCATTTGTTTGATATCGGGGTCCACGAATCCCAGAGCTTATCTGTGGAGATCGGAGATCATCATCGACCTAGACCACTTACCGCATAGTCCTCCGTAATAAACTGCCGATGTAGGCTCTCTACCCCACATTCAAACGTCTTTCAGGGAGGTAAAACCCAGCTACTCCCCTCGAAGATTGCCCTAGGCACCAACCCATGAAAAATGTAACGTCGCGCTTTACCAATGCCGTCGGCTGATATCGAACGCCTGCGACCCAGAGTGTCGGTTCACGATGGCGAATAGTCCTCAAACACCTGCTTCTTTGAGTATTACCGGCCGAGACATGAGCACGCATGCTAGCATATTAACAAGATCCGGTCGCCTGGTTAAGGATTGTGCTCTGGGTAAGCTCCACGGCTAGACAAGCAACACAAGGAGAAACCAAACCTCC